TTATTATTAGTCTATGTTTTTTTTTTTTTTTTTTTTTGTTTTCCTTCAATTCATTCATTCTCATTCTCTTTCTCTCTCTTATCATCTTTATCAGAAATAAAAATGATAGGAAATATCAGATATACTTATGTGCAAAGCATTCCTCAATTTATAGTAATTTCCAGCAAATACATGATCAGGTTGTGGTAACGAAATGTAAAGATGGTAGTATTGTAAGTAAATGCTATCAAGAAGGTGATCATATTCTTGATGTTGATGGTGTACGGGTAATTTATTATTTATTTAAAGACTAAATTTGAAATTAAAACTATTATCTTGTCTATTTTTTTATCGTTTTATCATAATATCAGGTATATTCGAAAGCTGATGCAAAGGAACGGATAATTGCTGGTTTAAGGAGTGCATCTTGCGTTTCCACTGTTGTTGAAAGAAAAGAACCTGAAGATTCAACTTCTATGTATGCTTCTGTTTCTATCTTAATTCTTTTCTTTTTTTTTCAATTTACATTTCATAAATTTATTCAATATTTTTATAAGACAAAAGTTAAATTCAGAATTATTTTGCATTTTCTAAATAATTTCTTCATCTATTCATTTTTATTCTTTTTTGTAAAAAATATTTTGTGCAAAATTCAAAATTATAATTTTTTTTTAATTTTTTATTAATTTTCTCAGAACTTAAATTTGTTTTTTTTCTTCAATATTTTTGCACAAATTTTATTTAATATATGCAGTAGTAATCGAGTATTGCTATTGGTTGGTGATCGAAATCCAAAAATGGCACCAGATGCGATAAAAATTGGACAACGTGAAGCGGCAAGGATACGTGCATGTGCTGGAAGACAATTCCCGTTAAAAAGTATATTACGTACATCATCCTATAAATCACCTACTACATTACATGTAAGCGTCATTAAGTTTTTTAATTAAACGTGCAAATTAATTTTAATTTTAATTAAAAGAATAATACATTATGCGAAAATTGGGAAATAGAAATACGTTTGGAATAAAATTTAAGCAATAAATTTTACAGAATTGATCAGACAATTTTTATCTCAAAAATGAAAAGTTTTCGTTTCCATTTTTAAAAATGTAAAATAATTATTTTGGATTTGATTCTATTAGAACCAAATTATTCCTTCTAAATAACATTATTTGTTTAAAAAAATAAATAAATAAAAGACAATAGTGTTAAAATTGATAATACAGCGATTATTGAAAACATAGAATTGATTGTTAATAATATACAAACGTTTGTTGATAATACAGAAGCGTTATTCGTCATCATGTACTAAGAGAACAATACCAAAAATTCATTGAAGTATTTCATTTGAAAATTAAAGTTTCCTCAACGATTAATTTTGATTAATTACTAAAAAATAAAAAGAAGAAAAAGGACTGATTTAGTTTGATATGAAGCCGCTAATAATGAGAGTAGCAAGTGATACAAAAGAACCAAATCGTTTGGTGCATGTGAAAAAAAAAGAGCCTAATCGCGGATTTCTGAATCTTTTATTTGGCAAACGAAGTAATATTGGAAATAAACGAAAAGATTTCCAGTAATTAATTAATTAATGATTCTGTTATACACGTGATGAACACGTACAAAACCGCATGCATATTCTCTAATTATTCAAATATCATAATTTTTGGGATAATAAAATGATTAATGCAAACTTTCTTTTAAAAATTTTTTGCATTAATAAAATGAATCAATCATTTAAGATAATATTATTGAAAAAATAACGAGGTAAAATTCTCAAATGATATGTTTGTAGTCTGAAAACATGAGAAATTTTTTGAAAAAAGGCATAAAACTTCGTTAAATTTTTTTTATTTATTGATTAATTGATAAATTCGGCAATTGTAGTTTTATTTTTGCTTATGTTGACAAGAATTTCAAAATGATGTCACGACAACAATAATCAATAATCAAATTACATCTAAATCCATATCCCGATAGTTCCAATTATTTCATAAAGTTATGCTACTCATGTCAAATGGCTTGCAGATTTTTACAAGATTTTTACAAAACTTTTTGAAAAATACTTTCTTTTAATAAAAGCATTCAATTAGGCCGACAAATAATTAGCAATGAAAGAGTAAAGAAGAATTTGCGTTCTATTTTTCTTTTTTTTTGATAAAAATAAATTTGTATAATTTTATTTAACCAATAAATTCATTAAACAAATAAAACAAATTTTATAATTAGCCAAAAAAAAGACAATAATTTTAGGCAAAATAAATAAAAAAAAAATTGATTAAAAAAATTGTGATGTGACGGAAATGTCACAGCATGTAAGCTTTTTTCTTCAACTCCCAAATAATTCAATGAAACAGATGATACCTCATTTACAATCGTTTTTAGTATTTTTATACCGAATTATATCAATTTATTTTAGGAATTATAAATTATATGGTACAAGATGTTATAGTACCTTTTACTACAGCAACCATCTTTAATTAAGAATATAGCAAAATTGATGAACAGTATTAACAATTGCGAATACATATATTTAATAGTAATTATAATAATTAATATGCAAACTAGTTCATATTAAATAATAACAGAAATCTATAGTTATGGAATAGGAACCGTTTTCAAATTATCGAATTCAACTAACGAATTACTGGCCGATATTAAAATTCGGAAAACTAGAACTGTTTCAAATTTTCTGCTTAATTTAAATGGCAAATTGCAAATGAAATCCATGATAGAGAGATGGAAAACGATTCTAAATAATGGACTATATGGTGTAATTAGTGGTCGTTTAAGATTAAAGGTGAAAAAAAGAATATCTTTCAGTCCTAAAAAACATGAAGAAGCTGCAAAAATTTACAATGAATTTATGAAATCAATAGATCAGTTAGCTTTTATTGCAACAAAAAAAACAACCAGTGAATAAGTTTTGAGCAAAATTTATTCACTGAATAAATGGAAAATTGAATATTATGGAGATTTGATATGCTTTTATTGATTATTTCATCAATTACATAAAGTGTTTTGGTGATATTTTGATATCATTTTTCCATTTCTTGTTTTTTCTGGCCTAAAAAATCTCATAAATTATTAAATATACGTTACGAAAAAAAATGCCATCCATAGTAAATTACAAATGAAATCCATAATGGTAACATAGGAATTAATTTTGAATATTATATAATATGATTATTATACATTGAAGGTGAGATAGTAGAAGTCAAATATATTTCAGGCTATGTTTCTCAGTCTTATAACAAGTCACAAGCAATGTTATATTTAAGATCAAATCTATCAATGGCAATCTGATCAAATATGATTGTTTATATGTTAAGCATTTAGCTGATCACTATCAAAGAGCACACAGTGCCGAATAACCTATCAGCTAATATCTATCTAATAAATAGCTTTTCTAACAGCTTAACTTGCAGAAATAAAATGTCTCAAAATTACAATGGAGTAATTAGACTGTTTGGTTCATTCAGACCTAACAAAAATTATTATGCACCCAAAGTGAGTAAAAAAAATAAATAAATAAATAAACTAAAAGAACCAAAATAAAATAAAAACATAGGTTACATTTCTGTGAATAATTTACAATTATTTTCAGTGATGTGAAGAATTATTGAGGGTTTAATGTTCAAAATAGTTTGCCTTTGAAATGGATTTAAAGGATATGTCATCTTGGAGATGAAAGTTTGACATATGTATCATTTCATGAAATATTTTAAAGTTATATGCGAGTAAATGACAAACCACGTCCCTTAGCGTTGTAACGCTCAATTCGTATTCTTTCCAAGAATTCCCTGGTTAAAATCGGTCTCACAGGCTTGCTTTTAGCCAATTGATACAGTTTGTAGTTCCGAATTTCGATTGTAACCATTACGCAGCTAATAACAATTGATAGTACCGCCCCCAGTATCAGTATCGCATCAATCTGAAGTCTTTCGAATAGAGTAACGATTTCTCGAAATTCTTACTGTAGTTAAAGATCGCATGAAAGATCGCCTTAAGATCGCCCTAAAGATCTTTTCCCTAAAGATCACATGAAGGATATAGCGAATGATTTCCATCAATTTTCAGTAGCAAGTCTCCCATTTCAAGCTATTCATTTAACGGATCAATGTTCCCATTTAATAGCATATAGCCTTCCTATCACTATCGCTATGCCATTTGATAATTAAAACTTAATTTTGAAATTTACAGTTCAAATCTTAATATTTACTCTTACCTTACTGAATATATTTAGTAAGGTATGCTGCTGTTTGTCGTTATAATACGCTGTAAAATAAGATAAACATCCGATTATCGTCTTCTTGTCATAGCATTTAAAGATGATAACAAATATAAATTTGAAATACTCAGCAAAATTAATTAATCAAAAAGTTGCAAAGAGATTATCCTCAACATTGTTGGAAGCTACTGCAACATAAGACTTAACAAAATGGTTAGAGATGTGATTCACTTAACAATATGCACTTAACCTCTCACTTAACACTTAACTCTCACAATATAACGACAAAATAACTGAAATTTTTTTAAATTTTGAATTGTGTATAAATTCCCAAACTAAGTTTAATTTTACTTCATTTTTTAATTTTACTTCATTTTTTTTTACTTCATTCTTAACATATCATTTAATTACTGATTGCAGAACAAAACAAAAAAAACAAAGAAAAACAGCAACAAAATACTAAAACAGAAAAGAGCTGCACTATTACGCTTTCTTTCATCTGTGAAATCGGAAATAATGTATTTCTTCATGGAATTTTTGCACATTTACTATAAATTTTGCCAATATCAGCTTAATTAAGAATATCATACAATATTGTGCAACGGTTTCGACTTGTTTTATTGAATTATTAGCGTTTTCAGCAAATGTTACAGTTTCGTTGGATAATATTTTCGCCACTGATTCTTCCGGTTTTGTTAAATATTGAATTTCTTTTCCATTGGATTCTTCTAAAAAAAAAACCAAATATGGATTTCAAATTTTCAATTACTCGTCATTTTGCTCTTCGGCATCCTAGCAGTATACCTGTTGTCCATCAGTTAAAAGATTACTTAAAGAAGAGAAAAACGACAAACTGCTCAAGTATTCGTTCACAGCTACTCGATCAAGTTGACAACTTTCTTGAACCATTACTGAAGTAAGCCTTTTTTTACCTGCAGAAAAAAATGGAAAGTTTACATTTAATATAATTCCTGAGATGATTCATATCACAGATGATTTATATCATTCGTTGCATTCTTACTTGATCAAAGAAGATTTAAAAATTCCTAGCAAACGAAATGGATGTGCTTCAGATAACCTACTTACCAAAACCTACTACAATAAGCTACTCACCATAACCCACTACAATGAACCACTCATGATAACCCGGTACAATAAACTACTCACAAATTTGCGATAACCTACTAAAACAAGCTATCTACAATAATCTGCAACAAGATATTCACGACAATCTACTGCAATAACCCAATTATAACTTACTATAACAACCCCTCACGATAAGCTATTCACATAACCTACTACAACAAGCAGTAACCTAGACGATCTGTTAGCCATGAGTTGATTATCGAAAACACATCCGCTCTCCATTTATTAAACTATTTCACTCAATTAATTTGCTCATCAAGTTATCAGAGACTAAATTTCTCAATGCTTTAAAAAGTTAAATATCTGAATTTCACTATCTCTCCTTTATCTTTTTTTGTTTTACCAACTAAGCAGCCATCATTCAAATAACCGTTTTTTTCTAAAACACATCAACAGTACACCATGAATATCCCGAAATGTAACTTTTCCGCCGTTCCATTTAATCTCGGCTTTCCAACTATTGACACTTAATAACCATTTAAATTGATTTTCATATTTATAATCACCAAGAATATATTGGGTTCCGCCTAGAATGAGAGAGCGAAAATGTGGACAAAAGTCTGATGACATATTAACGAAACATAATTTTTACGACAGATGACATAAGATAGAAATGACGAAAATAAGGAGATGAAATATTAAAGTGATAAAAAAAACTGACCAATATTCAAACCCAAACTGCTTCCCAACACTGGTTATAGCAATGATTTTACCTATCCAAATTTGAGTGAAAATTTGGGACAACTTGGAAAAAATTTTTTCTTTTGTTAAAGTGTAATAGATGTTTCTTTAGAAAAATTTGGTGATTATCTGAATCCATTCAATGTTTGCATCATTAAAGACTAATGTTGTCAAGTAATGCAAGCTTTTGCTATAGTATATCGCCCACAAAATTCAACCTTGCTTATCGGACTTAAATTGATACGAATATTTCCGTTGCTGGTCAAATATCGTTATGTGAGGCCTAAACAGAAACCGAATGAATACTTTCTTCTTGCACAATGCCAAAATCAAGATTGACAATTAATGGCCTTAGTCTTCACTAAATTAAGATATGGTTTGATTTTTGAACATCATTGAGGATCTCAGTTCAAATGACAAATTAATTCGGCAGGTTTAAAAAAAAATACTTGAAACAATTTCTACAAAGCTAATAGTTTCATATATGAAGGAACTTTCCTTATTTGATATTTCGATATATTGTCAAATTATTGGAACTTTAGAAAGGCAGCAAACTGTCCTTATGAAATAATCCTTTCAAATTAAATAATTACAAAATTAATCCTTTCAAATAAAAATGTTGAACCCTTTGCACTGTGCAGTGTCATATGGATATAAAATCTCGATTTCGATATTGTAAAGTATATTCGAATTTAACTGTAGCAACTCCTCTTGCATACCCAACAGTTGCTTATAATATTTAAACTGAAAGAAAAAAAAGGATAAAATAAAATACTTGTAAATTTTGGATCAGACAATGTTTAACACTATTAATTATCGATTTTTCGAACGATTTTTGGATATTCTGCAAATAGCCATCCATCTGTCAAAGTATGAAATTTTATTCAAACTTATCAATTTTGTCATCCTCATTAACTGTCATCCTGATTCACGGTGAAAGGTGCTTAATCAACCACTCCGTTTCATTTAGAAGTCAGTATAAACAAAACGATTTATTAGCTAATATTATGTGCTACAGCATTTAAAGCCTATGATTAAGACGTGTAAAACGTGTAATCATTTCACGTGGATATTAATTCAGATTCTTCATGCTGCTTGATTTTCTGCAACCCTTTGTTTGCAAAAACGAAACGAAAGAAAATAACG